AGAACCTATTGCAATAAAACGGCAATTTCATACTTTAACCCCTAATAATAACAACGTGTCAGACAACCACACCAAATGACTCTCCCTGTACATACATAATCTATTCATTCGTTCTTGAATGTATACAAAATTTGGTTAGTGTGGTGTATCCTGACTAGTGGCGTTAGGATGCAAATGACCCTCCACCAAACGTCTTTAGCACACTTTCTGAAAAGAGTGGCCGACACAAAAAATCTCACCCAGAACACCTAAAATTTATTTTTATATACATAAGTAATGTAAGTAGTAAGTAAAAATTTGTAGTGTGACAAAGTGACACTATACTGACACTAGAAAGGGCTGGAAGAAATATGACAACATTTTATCAGTTCTGTAGATCACAGTTACCAGCTCAGGAGGGGAATACTAATAATTATATCATGCAGCTGCGTGTTATATATGGATGCATATGCGAATGGACGAGGTTTTCGTTATTTTAAGAAAATCGTTAATAATGAAAATGATGTCATAATAAGTCGAATGTGTGTTTGTTAAGATTAAATATTACAGTAAACTTTGTATTAGATGAACCCTGATTGCTTAAAATAGCGATCTATTTTCACCGTTTAAGATGAATTTTTTAATTTTTTACTAGTAATCTGGTGAAGATTACTAGGAAGCTAATTAGACAACTCAGCTCTGAAAGAAATTTTAGATTTTATACGATTTTATTACGATAACATCTAGAATGTGAAATAATAATTCAGGACTATGAATATATTTTTTTCAATTTCAACTATATTCACGCCCTTTGGAGTGTAACGGGAGCATGTGTTTATATATTTCTGAATCCCATTACATTTGTCGGTAATATTATATTTCATATAATACTATAAAAACCCTGAAATACGAAATTATGGCTTACTACAAGGTACTCATAAATATGATATTGCTGTACTGAGGAGTAAATAATATACTTTGTATTTACTCCATGCTTATAACATAACGCAACTTGTTACAAGTAAAAAAATATAATTCGGTGTAATGACTATTGTCAAACCCCCATGTAAAATGAATAGTAGACAGTTGTGAAGGTCATCTATTTTCAGAAACCTTGTAAATATTATTTTGACAAAAAATATCAAAGTATTTCGGTTAGTGATCGATATTAACTATTTACACAAAGTAAATCCACGCAATACAAATAATGTGATAATTACACAAAATGTCGGCGCTTAAGACGTATTGATGACTAATAATAGTACACGAACTTGAAACATCAGTCCTTGATTTGTAGTGTAAAATGGAAAATATGTCGCACCTTTAGGGTGAAAGTGACCTCATTAAAAAATGAACAAAATGAGTTTATACCGTAAAATGACTTTTTAAAATCATGGCTCACAAGGCTATTAATCTGGAACTGACCATTTAAAGAACGAATGGCACAGACTAGTAATTTTTGACAAACGCGACTTGCTTTATTACAACGGCTTAATTTTGATAAGGTCATAACATCTTGCTTAGCTGGAGAAAATGTAACAGATTTAATTATTGTTGGGTCAATTGAATACAAAAAGGTTCAATAAAAAAGCCTTCTAGTAACTAGTTTTTGTAAATTATATTTTAAATTGTTAAATATTAAACGAATCAGAAACAATTTTGTGGTTATGAAACAGAACGTTTCATCATTATTTTTTAGGACTAACAAGGTTAGGTTAGGTTAGGTTACCGTTAGTACTTCAACGGTAAATAATTAAATAATGTGAAATGTCACAACTTCCAAACTTATTTTGCGTATTATCAAATAGTTGGATTTTTTTATGGGTCACTTTCATTTCATAGGTGCGATTTCTTTTAACATGATATAAAGCTCTGCAAGCAAGAACAGTGTTGTTAAAAATGGTATTTGCCAAATTAATAATGAGTTTAAACATTTGTCAAAAATATAGTGCAATGTCATAGTGTCATTTTCACTCAGTGGCGTTTTCTTTACCTTGTGCGGCTCCGGTAAGTCCATTTTTATCCTTAATTACATGTTGAGCAATGATATGTAGGATACAGAATATGAACGACGCGATGCCGAACCACTCGAATGTTTTCCAGCCACCGTAACTTTGGTACAGTCGTCCTCCGATTAAGCTGCCTAGAGAAACTCCAAGGCCCTCAAACACAGCCCCCACCAAGCCCTAAAAGCAAGAATAAAAAGTTATCACAATTCAGTGTCATCGTGAGCCACGGGTTTCCTCTAAACACCATAATCAGCAAACTGCCGCTGTCCCTGTCCTTTATTGGGGATTTCAGACAATTTCGAGCAGTTATGTAAACACTCTGCATGCTAGTTTTATAAAGATGTTTTATTTTTCACTAGTAAATCAGACTGTACATTATTCGTTAGCCCCGGTGGTGTAAGTTGACCTGTTGCAATTGAATCTGGGACCAGCATGCTTTTAGGTTATCAATGCAATGCAAATTTAAAATTAAAAGTTCTAAGCTTTATATTACGACCCTAGAGGCGGCTGAAAAGTAATCTCTTTTGACTGTTTCCAATTAAAAAATGATACTGGCTACCATCGCGACGCGTTTATTCTTTTTTCAAAATTACTGACATTCTTTTATTTATAACGTGTCGCTTTGCATGGACATGTCGCAAGCGAAATGGTTAAAAATTAGCAATTACTTTTTTTAACAGGCTAAATACCTTTTTAACAAATGAAAATGAAGTATATTTCCCTTACAGTGACGTTGAAAAAAAGTAGCAATGATCGTCTTTTATTTCATACTTAGGTAATTACTTTTCACCCGCCTCTCGTAGGTATTGCAATCACCTGCACTGTGGTCTCGGTTCCAGGCGGTGACACAACGTTTGCGTAAGAAGTCATCGTCGGGTAAAGCATTCCATAAGTGACCCCTTGCAATATTTCTATGGGCAACACCCACCAAGCGTTCGTCAAGAACGAGTACAATATGAAGCGGACGCCAAATGCGAAGAGCACCAAACTCATCATGTTTACGTGCCCCAATTTTCTTAAGATATAACCTGTAAGTAAGATGTAATCAATGTTTACAAGTGTTTGTTTGGATCGTTATAATGTAACAAGAAGATACAGACTGAAAGAATAAAATACAGGGTTCGTTTTTTGTAGGTCAGTTTGACGTTATGGAAATTGAAGCGATCGGAATATTTTAAGACCTGTCAAATTAAAATGTATACAGCATATTTTACAAATGTCATAGAAAAGTTAATTTAGAGCCTGGACTTTACGCATTGCAAGTAGCGTATAAGCAGTTCGACTCGACTCAATTAGTTGTACTAACATACCATAGTTTGAACTATCATATTCTAATATTTAATTTTACTGCAAACGCCATTACCGTCCATGAACGGATTAATTCATATAATTTACTTCCTACATAGGAGACAAAAATTCACGTGACTAGGCTCCAATGGCGTCCATATAACTCGATTCCCACCGGCTTGTCTAAAATTTTCCACGTATTTTCAAAGCACTGTAGTAGACAGCGCGCACACTCCACTACTTAAAAACTTTACTCAAAATATTCATTAATAAACGTGTAGTAAGTGACCTGTCTTTCCTTGATAATACGGCGCTTACAAATCACAAATCACAGCCCGAGTAAGCGGCTTATTTTCGGCTTTCATTTCATTCATAAAACCTACGCGCATCATGAAAATTCATGCACACATTGGTACAAATGGCTCGCTGGTAACCCGCTAATGATTGAGTCATGATCGAATATTCACTTAAATTCAAACCTTATAATTATGAGTGGAAGGTGGCTTTTTACAGACCCGTACTAAATTGCCACCAATATGTTTCTTAGGGAAGATTGTTGCCAAGTGTTAAACTTTATTTTACAATTGTCAAATATTATAATCACATATTAATTGAAAAGGGTCTATTAGTATTTTGTAAATGTTGAATGATAAATAGCGTTACAAAAATGTTCGGTTGAACGTTGTGATACCAACCTGACACAAACATGAATGGTATCTCGCCTAAGAACGTTTGTATAGCACTGACGAGGCCTTGCAGTGTCTTAGTGTACTCCGCTCCATCACAAGAGAGTCCGGAAACATCCTCGAGATGCCAGAATAAGAACTGCCAGACGAATCCCGTAGAAAAGCCAACAGCTATCGTCCAGATCATGAACACAACCGTATGAATTGAAGATAGTAAGGTTCCCACGTCAGAGAGAATATTTAGAGACATTTTTGTAGATTCAGTCTGAAACAAGTATTAATTATTACTAAATGTACAGTAGTAAGAACCATTATTTAAAAAATCTACTGTAACAATGAAGTTACTACAACAAGCAGTAAAGTAAGTTCGTAAGATCTGCTGACTCGGTTTGTAGCTCAGCAGGTACGAACGGTGACCCCGGTGTGGCAAAAGACGCTGGTTCGAGTCGAGTCAGATCAAAGGTATATTTCTTTGTACTGTTCCATCATCTTCACAAAAAGATATATGTATATCACGGTAGTAAAATCATCACGATATTGAACAAAAGAAATATTGCAATTAAGAGTCGATACTACCTCAACTCGAATTGAAATGAAATTTTTCCCGTTTTGAATCGGTTCTATTGCGCGAGTCGCGCGGCAGGGACTTTAGTCGCGTGGCTTTATTTCAGAATTTATTTTTTATAAACGAAACTAGAGTCATTTTAAAAATGTATATCGTATACTATACGTGTTCTATTCAGTTCAGTCGATATAAAAATATCATTGGTACACTCGAAATTTTACACAACCGGTGTAAAATTTCGAGGTAAGTTTGTTTTCTATCGTGAAAATCTTTAGGAATCGTGCTTTCACACCGTATAAAATATAATAAACTAATCAGTGTATTAGAGAGATTTAGAGATTTTTAGAGATTATTTTTTTATTTTTATTGTATGTCATCAATAATACAAAATAGTTTTTTCAAAGTGATTGATTCAACGCTTTCACTGTTATGCGGAATCCACCAAAGCCAATTGAGGTTGTATCGGCTCTTAAGTTACTATTTTTGTAGGTTAGTGTATATGATAAAAAGCTGGGGTTTCTCTTGTTTCCTCAAAACGGACTCGTACTAACCAGATTCTATACTATGGCAAAAATAAAGGATTTGGATTGGAAATTGTTCCCCTTACGTAGACTCCTTTTACGCCGATTCGTTAGTCACGTCTCCCTTTTATTCCATTTATGTCTAGTCCATAATGTCTATCTCATTTTAGTCTCCGTACGTGGAATGCTACAAGTACAGTAGGAAAGAAAATTCAAAAGCAATTGTAGTGATTAGTTGAGTTGTTAATATTATTCATAAATAAATTAATGGTTAGCCTACACTATAGTTCTACTGCGGGGCACAGCCCTATCACAATGGGAGGGCTTGCGCTATAGATCCCACGGGGTCACAATGCGCATTGGGAACTTCACACACATCATTAAATTGTTTCGCAGATATGTGTATGGGTTTGCAAGATGTTTTTCTTCACCAAATTAAATTACATTCATGCAATTCCAATGCATTCTTCAGTGAAAAAAATAACAAAAAAAAATTTTTACTTTGTGGCTTTTTACAGAACAATGTTTGTAGTGATTTTTGTCATGACACCAAGTGACGGGACAAACAAGTCATGCACCTGGTGGTAAGCGACACGCCTGTCCATAACAGTTGCAGTGCCACTCAGAGCTTTGAATCGCAAAGATCTGAGGGGTACTCCCACTGCGTCTGTCACCCTGAGACATAAGTTGACAAGTCCTATGTGCCTGTAATTTCACCAGCACGCTTACCTTTCAAAACCAGTATCAGTAAAAAGGGCAAAGGTGCTGATAAAACTACTACTTTTTTCTGAGTGTTCGATCTTTGTACTAATAATTATAACAAAATAGTGGAGTAATTTCACATAAAAATATAATTGAATATCAATTCAATGAAAATTTTACTACAGAACTTGTCATTTTTATGCCTCAGGGTGACGGGTGCTGTGACAGTGCCACTTAATCGCCAACAGGCGCACAAGTTTTTCGATCCGTCGTTTGATGTTATAAAAGAAGAAAGAAGCGGTAAAAAATATCTGATAACTAGCGGTCGGATAATCAGATGCTTATCTACAATTCGGTTGCTCGCTAACACCGAACGCGCTCTTGTATCGAAACAAATTCCATAACACCGGGATTGACGAGATTATTAAGGATAAAATGCTTGAAAATAAAAGCTTAAATGTGACATGTACTTTTGTGTAAATTAAAATTTATTAACTTTTATCGTATACAGTAAGTGAAAAATTTATACTTTCGGACATCAAGAAAAAAAATTTGTACGTTAAATAATTTTTACCGAAACCATCGTACCATCGATCGTTTAAATTTAAACTTGACACTTGACAGAATTGAGATTCGTTATTATATTCCTGGTCATCATCAGACCTTTAAGATGATTGAGTCCAAATCGTATAGATTTAAAATGTAAAAATCGCAAAATCCTTCGCCATTCCGGTATTTAAAAGAAATAAGAAATAAAATCCCACTTCCATATTTCGGCAGCAGTTCACGGGAAAAAGTGAACTTATGTATAAAGCACGTGAATAACCGACCACTACTGATAACTAATATACATATTTAAAAAAGAAAGTACCTTAATGAAACAAGAGACGAAGACGTCTCCCATCATGAACACGAACATGAATACAAATGCAATAGTGTAATTCTTGTAAGCCCCTTCACTAAAGTGGTCAATAAGAACACCTGTTATTAGAGAGAATATGCCCCATCCAACTGAACCCCAGAGTCTTTGTTTTCCGTATTGTGACATTTTGTCGCCTGCAATATAAAATATTTACAATATTAGTAATATTCCACATTAATAGTTCATGTTGAAAGTTTACATTTATCAATATCCAGCCTTACAATTTCTACGCCTCCCAATACTTTCAACCAGAGAGAGGCACTTTTTTCCGTCTTAGATATTAATTCTACGAGAAAATTGACAGTAATCTCGAGTAAAGGTCTGAATTTAAGAAATTGGAAGGCGTTGGTCTCACGTGACTGAATTTTGGTAGACTTCTGTTGTCAGTGGAAGAAGGTTGACAAGTAATAAAAACTTGTCTAATTTGATTAGCTTAGACAAACTTCAAGTAATACACCCATGCATTCAAGTAATAGTCCTGGAATGATTAAAAATAAAAGACGAAACAATCGAAAAAAAAATTAAAATACTGTCAAAGTATAACAAGACGAATATGAATGAATGCCACGGAGGCAGTTAAGGTAACTTAACTTTAGTCTTCAGAAAGAGTTCGTCAAGGGAAGTACTGCCGCCTTACCTATTTCTGTGTTGGTGAAATTACAGGCACATGGGACTTGTTAACTTATGTCTCAGGGTGACGGGCGCAGTGTCATTGCCCCTCAGATTTTTGCGATTCAAAACTCTGAGTGGCACTGCAAGTGTTATGGACAGGCGTGTAGCATAACATAAGGCGCGCGACTTGTTAGTCCCGTCACTTGATATTATAAGAAAAAAAAAACTGCCATGGCCATTAAACTATGATACTAACATTATACTATGATCATCGAGTATATAACCAGAAATAGAGACGGAATGTCATTTAATTTGTTTGAAAACTATTCTGCCATATCATTACTGTGACTGCTGCGCTCCTATTGGCTAGCCCGAATTCGAAACAATTGACGGGTGTCGTCAATGGGTGTCGTCAACTGTTTTACTTCAAATCGACCAGTTAACTTGAGCTTTGCTATAATGGACCAAAATTGCAAAATTACATATTTAATATTTAATTACCGATGAAATGTGATTCCGTTTGTTTTGTAATTAGATGTTATGCTGTTTTTCTCACGCCACCGAATAGAACAGCACGGCATTGTTAGAGATATTATCTATATTACAATAAATACAGAATATTTTTTGGAATATACGGAGACGTACACATAGGTCAGTACTTGGCCTGTCTATATTTCAGTACAAACGAGAGTTGATATTTATAAGAGCTGTATCGCTAATGTGTTACCAGGAATATATGGCCCTTATTTCGTCTCTATTTCTGGTTATATACTCGATGACTATGATAGTGTCATAGTTGTTTCGACGGCATATACTGGAATGCTTGCCATCGAACTGAAGTAATTGCCTCGTTATATATGAAAAATATAGAACAACATACAATACAACAATTCCGGGGTTTCGGGGAGGCATTATCAACTCTACGGGAATTACTTCTTTCAAATTTAGTTAAATATTCTATTCCGATATTTGATAATTAGTTAGCTTGAAGAGGTTTAATGTAAATTATTGCCATTCAACACGGAAGAAAAAATGTTATTAATGATTTCTTACCAAGGAGATTAAAACATATAGCGTCGGCGAATGTGACGACTACGGCTTGGCCAACCCAGCTGATAATCATCATGAGAAAGAACAGCCAAAACTGAGTGGTGAATTGAGACATCTCTGTTGCCCTGGAGTCTTGCGCTCCTTGGAATATTTCATTCACCTGTTGACATTTGTAAACCTATTTAATTATAATCGGGAAATATTCAAAGTGCATATCGTCGTCTTAGGAGTAGAATAACTCGAATATGATTTTCATGTAATTTTTCAGGACTAAGATAAAAATGGGGTGTGAAATGTTGTAAATGTAATAATGTTTGTAATTTTAATTACTTAAATTATAACTATGTTACTTTAATAATACATTTGAGCAAGAAGTTTATAAGTTTTTCTTCAACAAAAATCAGTTTAAACCGAACTATGTGAAAACCGTATGCCAGGTTTTCACTCTAAAGTGACGATATCAAAAAATTTATAGTTATCAAATTTTTTTTAACGCACACACTCATAGCCCCGCACTAGGGAAACCCTGTGTCGCAGGTGCCATGGATACTTATAGGCAACCACAAATTACACACAAACTCACGAGGACAATAAATACAAATACAAAAATTTCTCCCGGCCCGGGAATAGAACCCGGGACCTCTGCGTGGCAGACCAGTGTGGTAACCGCTCGGCCACAGAGGCAGTTGTATTACTTATATCCACTACTGACATAATTGTCACATAAAAAATATTTCACTAAAAACTTTGTTTGCCGTAATTGCAATTCGAAGCTGGAAATACATAGGGCGCACTTTAAGTTTCCGGAACTGGCCACTTACATAAACATTTAAAAAGTAATTACAATTTTTGAAAATGGAACTCTTTGGCTGAAGAATACAGTTTGTTTCATGTGACTGTCACTTGTTTTTACATAGTGGTGTCATTTTAGAAATAGTTTAGTGGATTTAACTCGTGAAAATTTTCGTAGTATGATTTTCTACGAATTTAAGTGTAATTTAACAGCTCATCGGAGCTTCGCTCGGCTTCAAACTGTTTTTGGCGATGAAGCACCATGCAAAACGACTATTTATAGTTGGTTTGCAGAATTCAAACGCGGTCGTGTGTATCTCAGTGACGAATATGGTGTGGGAAATAGTAACAGGTGACGAAACATGGATTTATAGTTACGATCCTAAAACAAAGCAGCAATCGAGCGTATGGGTCTTTCGAGATGAGCCGAAACCAACCTAAGTGGCGCGCGTGCAAGGAGCCTCTAAGATGATGATTGCTTCTTTTTTTAATAAAACTGGACACGTGGCTACTGTTGCTTTGGAGAATCGTTGCACCGTGAATACAATTGGTACACGACCATTTGTTTGCCGGAAGTTATTCACAAACTCCGTAAAAATAACCGTAAACGCCGTATCATCTTGCACCACGATGCAAATGCCAGTTCTCACACGGCCAGACAGACAAATGAATTTTTGAAGGTCCTGACCGGGCACCTTGTGACTTTTATCTATTTCCATAAATTAAGAACCAGCTACGCGGTCAACGATTTTCATCACCTGAAGAGGCTGTCAAAGAGTATGAAAAATATGTTTCAGAGATTGTCACGGAGGAGTGTCATAATTGTTTTCAAAATTGGTTCATTCGTATGAAAAAGTGCATTAACTCTAACGGATAATATATTGAGAAACAATAAATTCATATTAAATTTTTATTGAATTGATATTCAATTATTTTTTTGAAATTACTTACCACTACTTTGTTATAATTTTTAATACAAAGATCGAACATTCAGAAATATCGATATGTTCGATCTTTGTATTAATAATTATAATGAATTCATTTCCGACCATTTACAGTATTTTTCTTATTCATTCCGGAAACTTATAGTGCGCCACACGTAGGTGAAAACAAAACATTAGGAAAATACACTTTTCTAAATGTTTTTGTACACAATTGCGGATCGTCTTTAAAACAGAAAGATATTTGTAGTTTTTATAGAGCACTTTTTTAGTACTGCACCGAGTTTGTCCGTTATTCCTTTCACGAAGGCATGAACGCTGATTGCCTTAAAACGTCATGGCGTTCATGCTTTACGTGAAATTTGTATACGTAGCCCCGTTAAGACAACAGACACTGGTTCGAGTCCAATCGAATCGAAGAATTTTTCTTTGTGTTTGTTCGATCTTTTTTTACAGTTGCCGGGGCTAATAACTATATTAGGGTAAATAGGCAATAATATTATCGAACGTGAAACAAAACGTACCAAGATATTGTCGCCACAAGTAATTTGACAAGACGTATTGAAAATTACTGACGTATTTTCGTACAAAGCTTTTCCTGAGCAGTATGGAATGCGAGTTGTATCTGTAAAACAAGAAATATTGGAGTCAATATTATTTATTGTTTTGATCGAAATAAACATGAAGTTATCGTATTTCATGCACTTTATAAACATAAACATTTATACAGTGTATTGATTTGCATTTTCGCCTGTTTAAGAAATTAATAATACAAATAATTCTAAATCATCTAAAAATATTCTGTTCAATATTCTGGCTAACTGTCTCTAGTAAAGTTTTGCAAAATTGTCTCAACTCGTATGCACCATGCAAGGGCAGTGACTCCGCCACCCGTTTCACCGAGCTATCGCTAATAAAAGCGTAATCTTTCTCGATCGCTTATTTGCCTACTTTTTAAAATCATGATTATGTACTAGTATTCTTATAGTTTAATATTTATTTACATTAATTAGAAAAGTTGACTGAAAAAAGTTTGTAACTTAGATTTGGTACTTACTAATTTAAGTTACATGAAAGTATTGCTAGAAATACCTATAGCTCCACATGCAGAGATTCGCACGTAAGTTTCGTTTCAACATTAGACTCACAAATTTGAAAGCAGAAACTTCGACACTAGTATCCTCCGCGTAAACTAAACGTTTCACATCATGCAATAAGAACAGACACGCATGTTTCTTGATGGATTACCAGGTTCTGGTGAACCTGGTAGTGGTTATTTTTTGCACTACTAACTCTTGTTAACATACCAAACCAAGTGGCATTTCGGGACAGACTAGAATAGAATGTATGTCGGATGTCAGCGTGACGTACACGCAGTACGGGAAGCAAGGTCGACTGATCTACCAATCGCGCCGACGATACGACACTCCCCGCCGTCGCAACCCACACCCCACCACCAAATAGATCTAAAGTGCGTTTCTTTCTGCGCATTTAAGGTCTTCAAAATGTTTGCAAGTGTTGTGCAAGTCACGAGTCAATGAGGAATTTACGAATTTTTTTTTTTCGATTTATTTTTTTCATGGTTTGGATTCAGTTTATTAGTAAATATGTCGAGATTGCAAATCACATTGTATATTACAAGTCCCCACAAATAACGAATCAAGTTTTCTGAACATCAATGCCTGTACTAAAAGTTTACAGTGTTATTAATTGTACAGCGCCTTCTGCGTTGAAAAAAAGAAGTATTTATTTTTACATAAATATTTAACGCGATCACTGACGACAACTGCGATTGCAAAGAGTGTTGAGTCAAAATGGGCGTAAATCCAACAGAATTCGTATGTACATAAAATATTCGGCTTCGCCAGTGTAGCGAGGTGTTTTCACAAGTCTTGTTACAAAAGGCTGAATGAAGACCATTTTGAACTTTTAAACGTAATTCTTTTATTTTGTGTTTTATCCTAAGGTTATATGAATTTTTGTTATCATTCTGTCACATATATTTTGTCATAAAGTTACCAAATAAACTACTTTTATTTCTTTCAAATTAATACTATGACAATACGTATCAAAGTTACCTAGCGACTTAGAATAAATCCGAGACAATTCACAGGAAGCAAGCGCAGAACCAAACCGTTTATAAATAAAATTTGCTAAATAATGTAACAACATGATTTTGAGGCAACACACAAGAAGTGCGGCAAAATCGTCTGTCTGACACGGTTTTTTTGTAGGTTAATTTGGATCAAAACAATACTTGCTCGACCAAACTGCAAGATCATAGAAATCATTATTACACGGGTCATAGGAGTCTACGAAATTAAAAGAAATCATGATATTGTCAAAGAGGTCAACAGTCTACTTTGATTGCTTAATATTTAAATATTTCTTATAGAAGTCTATCTCATTTCGCTTTGGGGGAACCTGAAATATTTTGAAGTAGATACGTTTTCTCTTTTTTCATAATATTATAACAAACGTACCGTCGGGTAGTTTGATTTCATGGAGTTGAATGTAGACACACCCGTGTTCCAAAAGTGTAGTGGTTGGTTTAATGATGCCCTCGAAGGATAGGTTCGAAGGGAAATGACCACCAGCTGCAGTCTTCGGGTGGCAGGTTGATGCTACATCCGCTTCCCAACCCTCGCAGATTTCCATCAGTCGCCAAGGAGTGTGCTTGTCCAAGTCACAAGATGCCTGTTGATTTGAGTGAATAATTATTAAAGTACAGGAATGTTATTTTCCAGTTAAACTTACAGTTTTTTACGAGTCAATATACAGGATGTTAGTTTGTATTATGAGTTGCAGCCAATAACTTGCTTAAAATTCCACGGTGCAATAACACATGAGACAAAAACTGACTCAGCTACCAAATGCTAAAAATGATAAAGGCGAGTCATCGAAGGAAAAGCGTGAAAAACTATATGCGTATGGCCAAGCGATACACAACCGCAACTTGGGATTATACGCGGTATTTCTTTCGACATCTTATCGTTCGTAGCTATTAATTTTCTTCGAAGGTCCTTTCGTACCGTGTGGTGTTATTTCTGGAGTGATCTGTTAGCCTATGAAATTCTTTATTCCATAGTTAATTATAATTTATATTATATTCATCTGAACATAAACTTTGGCTCTAAATTAATACTAAAATATCGAACATCGAAAAAAGCTTAATTAAACCACCACAGCCTCGTTCGTAAACGTGCCTGCTTGTCTATATTCTACAGGAGACATCACGAGAGTATATAATGGAATAGCGTGATTTAAAATCGCCATCCTCTTTCCTTTATCGGGGGGCTAGACGAGGACCGGAACCCTATGTTGTGGATATTCCAATGATTCATACGAAACGTTGCAAAGAGAGATATGCTATAACTTCGGTATTTTAAGGAAATTCTTTTTTTAATTATAATCAAGTGCGTAAAACGTTTAGAAATTACTATCACTCGTTTCGCACTATGGGCTACAAAATTTATACAACATAAACACATTTATAAAATATTTACAATACTTCATATCCTTTTTTTTCTTATACATATAATAAACATACATATTTTATGTATTTATTTGATTAGTGTCTATGTAATTTAATGTTTTGAAGCCCACACTACTCTTAAAGTATCGATAATATACTCACTGACATTATTTAGGAGTGCTAAATAAAGTCAAAGATTTATGATAACAACGTTCATATTAACCACTGGCCACATAAATAAAGTTTAATCAAAATAAAAAAACGATTCATATTTTTTCAAATTAAACATTTTGGGATATGTGGCCAGCGGTTTATATACGAACATTGTTATAATAATTCAACCTTTTTTAGCGTCACTCCAAATATGTCCATGGGTGTTTATTAATCTTTTTTGTAAGTTTTATTTAACATTTCCGATACTTACAGAACACTCACCGGTTGTTGTGCCCTTCGCTAATTCTGCCAACTGTACGGTGTCATTCGAGCATAAGCGGTAGTTCAGCATTTTATCTACACACGTCATGTTCGCACGTTCGCTGCCTATGGCTGCAGAAATTTTCTTGTCGGCACAGTTTAAAGTACACGGCTCGTTAATATCAACGTAGCCATCACCGATGCGACATTTTGGTGTGTAAGTGTATTCTGAAATCAGACATTAGGATACAATAAAATATATCAGGTTATGAGAAAAATTTGCAAATATAAGCATTCCTTACACTGATTTGTAAATCGATTTAATAACAATCAAATGTAATATATGCAAGGCGTTCCAAGGGTTTGGGATACAGAGGGAAAATACTAAATCTTTTAGATAGGATAATTTGCTTCATTGAGACTATTTTATTTTTAAAAGTATATAGGCAATACTGCATTCCAAGACTTTTAAAAGTTTGCATGCCTCATTGGGAAATCGACCCAACCAAATGTGAAAAAATCTTGTCATTTTACGATGCTGATCGAAAAGGTAAATTATAAGGTCTTATAATATAGTGTCTTATATAATTTATTCAAAAAAGAAACGAACTTGAAACTGCCAATGTACATTAATTCATGTCATGTTCAAAATGCGATCATTTTCTTGTATGCAAATTCTCAGTCTAATGACAAGTTAACTGCCTGTAGATTTTCTTATCTTGTCACGATGGATATTCGAAATATCACGCCTTAGATACGTTTTTAAGTCATCCACGTTGTGAAAAACAAATCTTGTGTAATAAATCTTTTATGTATCCTCAGAAAAGTACGATTATCGACAGTGAAACATATTAATTCATTTTCCTAAACTTAAATGTAAGATTTCCTGGGGCTCCTTTAATTTATGATACTATGTCACTTAAAACGAATTATTCCTTATAGTTGGGCCCTTCGATTGGCATCACAATAACAAGATTTTTTTGACATTTGATGGGTTTGGTTCCCAGATGAGGCAAGCAAGTTTTAAGAGTACTTTTAAAAACAAAATATTTCCACGAAGCAAAATATCCTATCTACAATATTTCAATATTTTCCCTCCGTGTTCCATATCTGAATACGGCATCTACGTACACTACACAATCCGCTAATCGTAATTTTTACAAGATAGAATTAAGCGTGTTAACTATTGTAACTATTTATTACCGGAATATGCGGCATAGAGTAAATATAAGTAATTACACACACACTCATAGCCCCGCACTAGAGAAAGCCTGTATCGCGGGTGCGATGGACACACACATAGATAACCACACATTACACCCAAACTCACGAGAGACATAAATGTTGGCCATACAAATATTTCCCCCGGCCCGGGAATCGAACCCGGGACCTCTACGTGCCAGTCCAGTATGATAGCCATTCGGCTACGAAGGCAGTTATTAATAATGCAAATATCTGATTATAGGTATAAAATCTAAGCCCTTATGAATTTCACAAAAACACTTCCTGAATAGGCAGTATTAGGTAACATCACTTTATAAATACAATTCAAGTAGTTAGCATTTTTAGTAGTTACAATAGTATATGTAAATGCCGACAATATGATAAAAGTAAAAAATTTACAATCAAAAGTTGAAGCCTTGGCTGAACATTTATAGCTTGTATAATTAACCTGTATCACACCCCGCACACTCCATATAACGGTCGAAAATTATTTGCCTACTACTACTACATACAGCAAGGCGCTGTCTGCACACGGGCAAATGTGTGCGTGAAGTGGCTGGGTTACCAATCACTTGCTAGCGCGAATCTGTTATCTATGGTTCTATTAATAAAATCCTAATAATTATACATGTCTCTTAGATATTTGTATCGATTTATTATTATATTTTTCATTAATTCACTAACTAGGGTAATATTGAAGATTTATTTCAAAAATACATTAAAATCACTTAAAATGTTATATTTCGGACATGTACTTTTAGGTTAGGTAACCGAGGTATTTGAAATTCCTTGTTCAAGTTTGGTTAATAATTAGATATATTCACTACCTAAGTATCTACGTAATATTTATCGGCAATACGAATAGAAAATTCGCGAACCCTTGTCTACTAACTCACGAAGTCATGGCGTCTCCTTATATTGATATATAATAAATCTGTATTTTTACATACATACATATACATACATACATACATACATAATAAATGAAGAAAACATAACAGAAATAGGTTTTTTTACTTCGTTTCATCTTTCGGAATCTTTCGGATAAACAGCCGTACACAGCACAATTCACGACCATTATAAATAGTAACGTAAAATGATGTTTTATATTAACGTACAAGTTTCGTAATGAATAAATGAAAACTATATTCAAATATCAAAGCCGTCTTCGCGCAAAAACGGCTCGACGGCAGCCTTGTTGTCGTTCAGTCAATGTAACCGGCAATGTGCGGGGCGTGGTGCGGTATCTAAAACTAGGGAGGCGCTGAGTGTCCGTTCTCTATTCTTTATTCTCTGCCTGTATATTGCCGAGTAAGCTAAAACCAAGGGAGGCTATAGTGCAGGGAGGATCAGCACCCATTTCATTGCAATCGCAAAACTATGTGAAAGTGCAATTAGGGAATATTGCATTTTCATATAGCCAAGCGTTCCGGTTACGAAGGATAAGGGTGCTGGTGAAATTACAGGCACATGGGAGTTGTCAACTTTGTCTCAGGGTGATGGGCGTAGTGGCAGTGTCCCTCAGATATTTGCGATTTAAATGGCTGAGTGTCACTACAACTTCTATGGACAGGCGTATCGCCTAACCACCATGCGCACGACTTGTTATTCCCGTCACTTATATCATTAAAAAATAGAATATTAAAGAAAGTAATTTTTCTAATGTCGAATTAGAGATATATAATACTTACTATCGTCCAATGTCACATTGTAAGCTGCAATATAAGCACAGTCATCTTTCAAACTAACATTATTAATCATCGCTTTATATTCTATGATATCAGTGTTACTGTAACAATAATAAGGCAAGTGCCAATGCTCGCAAACAGTTTGCCACATTCTAGGCGTAGACATTTCACAGTTCATCTGTAATAAATAAAATTTAATTCCACAGATGTAAGGTTCCAAGGATACGTCAAAATTTGATCGATAAAAGTTCTTATACAAGCGATGCTTTAAGATACAACTTAACCTCTGAGCCGTAAAATTCATTTTGGTATGACTTCCTTATTATTGCACCATTAGTGAATGACGTTTTAAGAAACTTTGTATGCTAATTTGATCTTTAATTACATTAGATAAATACAATTTTCGACCAAAAAGCTGGAATTCCTTTACACTTTTCTATAACAAGGCCAGTGGCGGCTTTATGGTCTTGGCCGCCCTAGACCCTAGGCCATGTAGTTAGTACCAGCCGCCCCTTTTTCAACACTCATCATATACTGGTAGACTACATAATGAATTTACTTTATTGCCAACTTTTATCGAAATCTATTCAGAAATTTAGTTAACTATAATAGCTGCTAGTTTTTAATATTTTCGGATGTTTCATATTTAAATAAAACATTTAAAACGGTTTTTTCACGATTGGCCGCCCCTAAAATCAGGCCGCCCAAGACCCGAGCCTTACTGGGCCTTAGGGCAAATCCGCCACTGAGCAAGGCTCATGGCAGCATATAATAAGGCTCTCAGAACCAAAAAGGTTCAGGTATCTTAGGACATTGACAGAATATTGGATTCATCGATTAACTAGCAACTGTTAAAAACTATTTCGACGTTCAAGAATCACCGCCTCAAGAGGTGTGATGGACCCTAGGGAATGTTAATGTTCTAACGGGAGTGGTGTTGTTGCAGCATGGGTTTGAAAGATGTATAATGTATTGTACACGGCTCATATACAGTGTGTAGTACAGTTTTACAAAACAAAACAATTTTTTAAAGAGGCAAATTGATTTTTAGCTGTAATGTAATATATGGCTCAAAAAACAAAATTCCGTCGCCCTCAAACATCCCTCAATCGTATTTATTTAAAGTTACTTTTGGAACAACTTGACGTTCTGTATTATGTAGAATTCAACTGAAACATAGCGCTTGTATGTAGTTACTTTAAATTGCATTGTCTTCGCGAGATTTTGCAATGTCACCTAATAAATCTTACCCGACATGTGGTAGGAAGAGTGTGCTTCTCCAGACTATCAATCTTGCATTTGTCAGCTTGATGCTTGGGCGCATAACAGCTCTTCAATACTGTAATCCCTCCATTACAATCTAGTTCTACCGACATACTCTCTCTATTCTCTGGTATTACATAGATTAGGGAGAAACTTATTATTGTAACGATTTGGAACAATATAAATAGTGATTTTTGGATTCTATACCTGAAAATAAATAATCTCAGTACAGAGTACTAAAAAAACCGACCTCAAAAGTACGTGGAATTACGTCTATTCGCTAAGTTTTATTGAAATATCCCCTAGTTCGCCACTATGCAAGACTTGATACTGGAGATTATAAAAATCGGTTCTCACTACTCAAAGTATATCAAGAGAAAAACGCCTTGAATTGGAGAAATAGCAAAATCAACCATTAACGTAATTGCTCCTAAATTAATGTTAGGCGCTATTTATGAAAATGAATCTTCATGCGTAAACAGCCACCCTTCGAGGTGGATGATTTTCTTCAAAATGAAATGGGGCGACTATGGAAGTACCCCCTTTCCAACAAAAAAAGAATCATGAAAATCGGTTCACAAACACCGGAGTTATCGCGGAACATACATACAAAAAAAAGAAAAAAGAACACACAGTCGAATTGAGAACCTCCTCCTTTTTTGAAGTCGCTTAAAAATAAAAAACATTTAAAGTATAAATCAGTAACTCACACTCCCATATTGCCAATAATAGTAGTTGGAAAGAAGTATCAATGACAACTGCCATATTATTACACAAGTGTTTTATCACGGCAGTTGTTCTTCTTACGGCACATGAACTGCATTCTTACGGCATCTCAACAGAAGCCGTAAGAATGCAGTACTTGTGACTACACTCTACATCATCATGGTGAACCCATTCGACGACATACTTCATCACGGATTTCTTCAATTTCAATGCTAATTGGTGACATCACAAATTCCAAGTGTTGTGAATCTTGTTCGAAATGTATGTTTCACCATGTTTTCCTTCAAGATTAGGAAAAAGTATTGCCACTAAATATTCTCTTAGACAAATACAGACAACAGAAGCAAATACTTAATCTTAATAGGTGTAGTTTACATTACAATAACTAATAAGCAATTCTAATAAATATTTATCTATAAAATTGAGTTGTTTTCATGTTTTATGTAGATTTGGTTTATGCTGCCATATTGTAAGAGTGGTTTATTTTGATAAAGCATTTTGTATCGAGTGCGATTGATATGTGCTAGCATATAAAATTACACAAACTGGCCAGATTTAGATAATGTTACATACTGATAATATGAGTAAGTTAATATCATAAAACCATTTGAAAAACAAATAGAACCAAGTTATGCCATTATCAATAATTCATTTCATAGATATAATTATAATCAGATTATGTAGTAATAAAAGTTATTTATTGGCTATAACAACGTTGGAATTTGGTGTCCTGAAAATAAATCTTTCATAAAAAATAACAATATTAGTAATTAGAGTAATTACTAATTAAGATACTTTTTTCTTCAGTTAAGAGAAAATAATCTTTTATCATTTATTTTAGGAAAGTTCTGATATAGGTTATGTAACTAAGTAATGTATTTTTAGCATTTTATTAACCGAGTTGAGAGAAAGGAGGAGGTTCTCAATTCAATTGTATCTTTTACGTGTATGCTACGTGATTACGTCGACGTTTTGTGAACCGATGTCGACGATTCTGTTTATTGGAAAGGTACCACTACCACTTCAGTAGAGGTCCCATTAAAAAAAGTGGCAAATTAGGGGAGGAATCGGGTTCATTGAATTTCACCTACTTTCCGTTAACCAATTTCCATAAAACTTGGCAAATATACTTCTATTCCACTAAAAATAAAACGTAATTTTAAATTTGATTCATGTAATCATTATGATGTTAAAATGGATGCTTCCGACTCAATATTATAAGAAGCCAGTAGGCTTCTTTTATTTCTGCACTATGACTAGTAAGTCCACTGGTGAAAAATGGGCACTATAGAATAAGTTTATTAAGTTGCAAATACACTATCTACATCAACTGCAATAATAGTAACAATACACTCCACAGTATTACAATTAATGCTCATATTCAAGTATCATATTACCTGTCTGCAATTACACCAAATAGCGGTTTTGCCACAAGACCAAATATGGGTAGTACAGTGTATATTAAACCAACTGTTCCCGAGGAAAATCCAAGTTGACGTGCATAAGTTGACAAATACGGGACCAAAGGGGAAGTTCCTGAAACAATTTGAAGACTAAACCTTAAAATAAACATATAATTATTGGAGTACTTGCCTAGGAAGATGTGCAATATAATAACTATTCTATTTTTTAAGGTTCATTGTCACTATTAGAAATATACATTTGTTTTAGTAGGTTATTTTTACAGCATACCTGCAATACCTATTAAATTGTAATACCTCAAAACTTTTATTACTACCTTTTTCTTATTTCTTGTTTAGATTGGCCATAGACAGGGAGATCTTTGCAATATTGACAGCCAACATACAGTAATAGAGAGGCATCTTAAAAAGTCGTTGACTTTCCCAAGGCAGAAATAAGAAAAATAAGGCACTTCTGCCTTGGGAAAGTCAAATGGACTGAAAGTGTTTAAACCAAACTTTAAAAAATAAAAACTTATTATTATTATTAGGGTGGCTGCATGCGGCACCTTATCACTGTGACCATCAACTGGTCTATTGTGACCACAACTAATTACAGTTTGGAGCCATAGCCAACAGCATTAAAAAACTGATGGCGGCTCCAACAGTTGTTATGTTTTCTGGTTGTGGGCCTGTTAAGGCTCTAGACAGTGTTCTAATGCTAATCCTGTCCAGTGACTGAGCTTTTCGGCGCTGTAGGCACCTATCAGGGCTTTTGAATGCTCAAGATAGAACCTAAAGGTATAAATACCTTATATGCAGTATCACATGGTCAATGTGACAATCATAGCTAAAATGGAAACAATATATAAAATAATACATGTTATGGTATTACAAGGGTGTTTAATATGTTACAGCGATTCATACTTAAAACGAAAAAAAAACTAAATATGGAACACTTTGTCACAAGATTGATTGTGTGACTTACAAGTTTAGTGTTCTTTATTTCCTTAATATATATTAAAAAAGAAAGTGTGATTAATATTTCAAAATTTCGCATAAGCAAATAAACTTCGCTGCTGCCATGACAATCACGAATTGCAATTTTGATTTGAAAATTATGAAGCAACACTTAAGATACACATAAGGGAGTACGACATTTATCAATGCTAATTCATATTAGGTTGGTTTGGAAAAGTTATATGTCCATACTATATCCAGGCTTCTGTGATAATATTAAATACATTATAAGGTTATGTCAATAAGTGTCATGTTTCTGTGAACTTGTAAAAATGAGGCTAATCCACATTCACATATTTTTAATATTAAAGTTATAGGATAAAGGAAAGAGCTCACAAAGAGATATATAGAACTAAAAAATATGTGTATTAAATTTCAAAATAATAAATTAAATAAGTGAAAACAATCTATAAGTATCCCCATGCTGAGCACATTTCCTCTAACAGTTGACAATATTAATATGATATTTAACCAATAGCAAGCGAAAGCTGGCAATAATATTCTAGCATTCTTTCAATTGTCAGCTAAATTTGAATTAAATTCAATTGTCAGCTAATTTTGTTCAGCTAATTATAGTGAACTTTTGAGTAGGTACATAAACAGAATTACCTACTAGAAATAATTATATAACAATCTATGAATAAATTTTTTTAATATCTGAGTCCAGAAACTACATTTTTAGCTTTGATTGACTGATATTGTGATTGAAGAGTAAAAAACGGATTTCATCCATAAATTGAGTTACAAAGTTTCAAAATTTAGACAAAATGCAAATTAATGGTTTTGAGATGTATAGGATTCAACAATTCAGGCTACTAATCATGCAAGAAACAAAACACAGTTGTAACTCACAATTGTGAAATTGAGAAAACATAATTTGAAAGTATTGGTATTGGTATTGGTATTGGTGCAACGGGCTAGTTTGAAAGTATTATGTATAAACAAAAATAACCACATTATTCGCAATAACACCCTTTCAGTATTTTTTTAATGTATAATTGTGTTTTCTCAATTCAACAATTTTCACTTCTGACAACTGTTGACCAACATTAACTGACTGCATTCCTCGAAACTGACACTGGTCCAAGCCTACTGGCCGCCATTACTTTTTAACACACGTTATACTGAATTAAATAACATAAATTGCTTACCTGCATTGAAGAGAAAATAATGTCCCTTTATGGGTAGTAGTTTCTTGTTTATGTTCATTTTTATTTAGAACTATTTAAAATAGAATTATACCTGAGAACAAAGTTATTATTTAAATAACAAACAAATTCATATTTGCAATTAAATTGTGTAAAAATAGTAATACTCTTCTTAGAAAAATACTTCAAATTATTACCTGTCTTTTTAGTTAGTTTTTATATTAAACTTTGTAACAAATCACGGAAACGCGGACATGTCAAATTTTAAGTCAACAAGTCCTACAACTTTAACCTTGAACTTAATCTCTCCTAATTAACAGTGAACTGACTCAATACAATTTATTTAATGGTATTTAATTAATTGAAAACTATTAGGCTGTCATAACCAAACAACGGTAAACTTTTCAAAGCTAAATCAACTAGTAATCAAAGGTAATTGGGTTAAAATACTTACAAAATGGAATAAAGATTGTTGTCACCAGTTAATTTGGAAACCGGTCTAGGCGGAGGCGTCTACTTTATCAAGATTCATGCGGATACAGTCACGTTTTAATGCAATACGATTATAAATCTCATCATAGGCAGACAAGCACACAGTACACACCACACAGTAAACACCACAGAAATACTTACACACAGTGAACGAACTATCTATATACCTACTCATCTGATTGACAGTTAAAGCGGCCTATTCACAGCTCAACGTGTATTGTTATGTACGCGGTTATGTAGGATTCCGTATCATTGACTTGTTCATGACCACATAACCTTGCTTTGTGATAATTTTACTGAGCTAAATTGAGTAATAAACGCAATAGCACTTCACAAAAGACCCCAATAAATATACTTACTTGTGATTATATTAATTTTCTACTTACAAAATATGATAAAAATAGGCATATAGGCATTGCAAATTGGTCATTTGAATTATTTTAGGTTACTACCTAAAATAATTAATAATATACTATATTATAACGACGAATTTTATTTGAAATGAATAATGTTTAGCAATGATATTATATTATGTTCTTTGTGTTTCCCGTGAATGCTGTCCCGAATGGCGATTTTAACGTCTTAAATTCAAACAAGGCACCTTAGTTTTAAACTTTTATTCTAATCTCCAACAGTTCGTACAATTGTATCACTTTTCTAATCAACCCACGTGCTTCTCTAAGAGGATTCATCAACTGAAGCAGTGTTCAATATAGCGGAGACATAATAGTGATCGATTTTTATTTGTCTCCCGCCTATTTTCTATCGTCGTGTGTAGTATTGCCTTACTAATAAATGTAATATTGTTACAGTTGAGTTTTGTACTCAAAAACTTGAGAAAAATAGGCTTAGCTATGAATGTGACACACAGCGCCTCCAGGCAGAATTACATAGTGTAACAAATTCATTAAAATTAATAACACAGAATTTATTAGATTTATGTATATTTATTAATGACAGATTTGAGTCTTTAACGAATAACTGCCTGTCTGTGTGTGTCACTGATCCATCCTTGTTGTTGTTGCAGGAATCTTGTTTAGAATCATCAATCTTATTGGAATACTGCTGGCGCTTTCGCCAAACCAAATGGCATACGAGTGTATTCGTACTGGCCATTCGGAGTGACGAACGCTGTCTTTTCTTTAGACTCTTCTGCGATCGGAATCTGGTAGTACCGAAAAGCCAAGTCAAGTGTGGTAAATATAGTATGGCCTTGACAATTGATCCAGCAAATCATCAATCCTTGGGAGAGGATAGTAATCTCGTCTAGTTTTACTATTAAGTGCACGATAGTCCACGGATAGTCGTTTTTCGCCAGATTTCTTTTGGACTACTACGATAGGACTCTTCTCGCGAATTAGACTCGCGGACTATCCCATAATCAACCATTTCTGATATCATAGCTCGAACATGTTGCCGTTCCGAATGTGATAACGACTGACTGGATCGGTATCTTTCAGTTGTTTTACAATTTCGGCCTCGGTGGTATAACCCAGACCCCGTAACCCAGTAGAAAAGCAGTGCTTATATCTCTCTAAGAAATCATTGAGCTTTCTTCGTTCATCTGGCGAAAGATTTGTTCTGCACTGTATGATCGGCCTTTCTAGTGATTTATGCGTAGCAGTTACATTCAAAACGTTTACACGTTCACTCAAATACAAAAAGCATGAGTGACTAGAAAGTTTTTTGGCAGGTTGATGGGCTTCGTACTTAAACTTTAAACTATAAATAAGTAACAAACATGAGCCCTGATTTATTTCTTATTCGCCAGGTAATAGATAATGTTCGCTACCTACACCACCCGTGACCGCGCCTCCCACATATACGTTACCATTAATTTGTTCATCGGTTTTAACGCTAACCGCTTGAATTTTTGAATCGTCAATGGCTACATCATTTAACATTCTCAACATTATTTTCTTGTTATTCCGTTGATCGACTTTCTCGAATATTAGGTCTGAAGTACTCTTAGTGATCCTCACGTGAGGTCGCTCAGTGAAAGTATGCCCCAATAGGACTGGGTAGTTAATAAAATGCTCCTCCACTACAAGAACCTCAACATTCTTCTCAGCAACGCCATGTACATCAATGTCAACTTGAAGTTTCCCCTGTGGTAAGTATGGCACGTTCCCCAAACCCCGCAAGAATGGACCGTCTACAGTTTGCTATTTCAAACCAAGATTTTGGGCATCCGTCTTATGTATTAATGTGGCTTCGCTGCCGAAATCTACTTGACATGCAATAGGGACTTTGTTGATTGTTATCACTACTTTGTATTTGCTACCCGTATTACCATTACACATTATTTAGTTTGAGTTGGACCATGGCGTTCGGTTTTTATTACCATTGTTGGGTTGGGAAGATGTATGGTAAGTTAGTGTGTACCTCTTCGATTCAAAGGGTTTGCTATCTCTAGATTGAATTTTAACAGTTTTGAAAAATTCCAGAACATCCTCTGGTGCTTGGAACCTAGCAGCTTGAGCGTGAGCTACTTTCATATTCCTATCGTCTACATCGTGAAATACGCAGGCTACCGCCTCCTTTCCAAAGTTTTTGCAGCGATTTAATAAATTTGTTTTGGCATAATAATAAGCCTCTAAAGATTCCGTTTAGTTCACTTTCATAACTAAGTTTTCTTAACTGGTTAAGAAAAACCCTTTTTTATTATTGTTTTCACAACTGGTTTTTAAACAAGAATACGAAGTGTTCATTCATAACTGACAATCACAAATAGTTAAGAAACGAATAATTATCTCCGTATCGTACACGTTTATTGAGCATTTTGGTCAGCAGCTCTGCGTAATTCTCGGTAGATGGGAAAGATTTTATTAGCAATACCTTCCTTTCCGGCCATGTACGTTTTATGGAAGGCAATTCCTGGTACCACGTATTAGCGTGACCTCTAAGTTTAGGTAACGCATAGTGAGCAATCTGTCTATCGCTCCACTTGTAAATTTCGGAACACTCGTCTACCTTACTAAGCCACACATTAATGGGTTGCTCCTTACACAATGGGTCAAAAGTAGGTATGACGTTATTGTTCAACGTATGGAAGCTGTCACGTTCACTATTTCGATTTCTTAATAAATTTAAAAATTCTTCCATAAATACAGATGTTGATTCATACCTTGATGTTCCTCTTTCATCCCGTCTAGGGCCCCTTCTTCTGTCACGGAACTCGGAATCATGACGCCGTTCGCGCTCCCTGAGGGTGTACAATTCCCGGTCCTTTAGTAGTTGGCTTTCCAACACTCGTAATCGCTCCCTTTCAGTTTCGTTCTGCGTTTTCGACTACGGGATCTACTACATGATCGACCATTATGTGAACTGCGCTTGTGGTCCTGAGATGGCGTTCTCAGCACTCTTTCAGATGATCGTACAACATCGCCATGGCTCCTGTTAGGCGGTAGCATTCGAAGTTGACCAGGCGTATACAAAATCGGGCTCCCTACTGGACGCCGGTCATCCTCATCACTATCCGCATCCATGTCCTGGAACTCGAAAGTAAAAAAGTGTGTCTATACGTTCTTTATTTTTTTCTTTAATCTTTACCCGTCCCTCTAATACGCATTATTCCAAGTTAAGCACATTCGAAAACAAAACTGCATGAAAAAATACGCTTTAGATTGCATTATAAGTACCTACATGTATACATAATAATATATATATATATATATATATTTATATATACAATTACGCAATTTTATGTATATATATATATATATATATATATACATAAAATTGCGTTCCTTGAGATTCCCTCATCAGATTTTGACTTGGCGACAATGGGACAGAGTGCACCCTTTCAATAAAAAAAAGAATTTTCAAAATCGGAGAATCGGGAATTTCAATTGACGGAGAAATCGCTAAACATAAATAGAGCCAAACGTATAACCTCCTTCATTTTTTTATGTCGGCTAAAATAAAATAACTACGGGCAAAAAAAAAATTGATTCAAATGTCTATCTTTCCGTACAAATTAGGTATAAATTAGGTATACATTAGGTATAGTTGAATTTTAAAACAGATTATGGTTATATGTAAGTACGTTATGTACTTTAGAAATGTTAGCAACCAAAACGGTAGTAAAACTTCCGTATAAAACTTTTAAATTCATTACAAGTCTTAGACGTCTGTACTAAATAAATATAATCTATCAGCGTAAAGCTAAAAGATACATGCTCATACATACGTTACTTTATTTTTTGTTTATTTTTAAATAAATAATTTTTATTAAATAAATTTAAAAAAATAAGGAAATGAAACTATTTTTCCGGATTTAAATCGCGTATATTTGTTTTTTCAAACAAAACTGTCACAAGTGAGGCAAAAACCAAATTCATGTAGGCGTAAGCAACTTGTAACTACGCTCGTCGGCACGCACACAAATATACAAATAATAATGCCATGGAATAATATTTCCCTCAAAAGTGGGGAAATTGTATCTTGCTTAACTCATCATTAAGTTGAAGGTGCCTACAGATTTGCCCGACATTGTCGATCAGGTGCCTACAGATGTGCTCGATTTTGACGATCGTTACTGTCGATCGACAATGTCGATCAGGTGCCTACAGATATGCTCGGTTTTGTCGATGAAAAACGAATATAGCACTTATTTGTAAATCCAAGATGGCGGACACGATTTTTCAAAATATGCTATATGGGTATCCTTTTCGAGGTATTTGGGGATGCTCATTACGAATATGGCACTCATTTCTAAATCCAAGATGGCGGACACGAGTTTTCAAATAAATGCAATATGGGTATCATTTTCGAGATACTTGGGGGTGCTCATTACGAATATGGCACTCATTTCTAAATCCAAGATGGCGGGCACGATTTTTCAAAAAAATGCTATATGGGTATCATTTTCGTGGTATTTGAGGATGCTCATTACGAATATGGCACTCATTTCTAAATCCAAGATGGCGGACACGAGTTTTCAAATAAATGCAATATGGGTATCATTTTCGAGGTACTTGGGGGTGCTCATTACGAATGTGGCACTCATTTCTAAATCCAAGATGGCGGGCACGATTTTTTCAAAAAAATGCTATGTGGGTATCGTTTTCGAGGTATTTGGGGGTGCTCATTACGAATA